TGCTAATTCTGCGAAAAGATATGGTTTCTGACGCTCCGCTATCGACCTAAAAACAACTCGTTCGGAACCGTCAACTGCAGCGAGAATGTTGAGACAAATTGCCTCTTCGAACTTGATTTCACTACGGTGAGAAAAACAAAATCTATTAGCAAACTTTCTCCCGATGTGAATGAACTTCAAAAAAAAGATTTTTTTTTTGTGCGTATTTTACACTTAGTCTAAAAATTTTAACAAACCTCTGTCGGTTTATGCATTGTCACAGCGAAAAAACAAGTGCGGCCGCCGATACAGTTCCTATTCAAACCATATAAACAGTGTCTCTATATGCGTGCACTTCGCGGTTTTTATAGAAGTGATAGAGAATACTTTGCATTCTCCAGATTAAGAGTCGTCTGGAATCGGGTTGTATGCCAAACCATAAAAAAATCACAGCGTCCCATTCCCGTAGAATTCATTTAAATCAATTCAGTTGAAGCCAGTTCTACAGTGGAAAAGTTTGATTTATAAAAAAACGCTTGGCCTCTTGAAATTTTCTAGAGATCAGCTTAAGCCGGCTTTACATGAAAATGTTTTAGAAAGTAAGCATAGGGACTTTATATAATGCTTCATTGGATGAGCACCATCATGGGACAGTACCTGTATCACCATATGATAACGTTATGATCACCCATACATTTATTTTTGTGCAATAATGTCAGTGGAACGAAAACGTTAGTCGCCTTACATGCAGTTGATCCGTATGAAGCCATCTGTAAATAGTTTGTATTCGTACTGCTTTTGTTGCCTGCAAGGTCAGAATTGTAATCGTTGAATAGCTATTTATCGGTCTTCTGTTATACTTTGATACAGGTTTCACACGTGGCAAATCACAGAAAGATCTGCATTTAGAGCTTGGACTAATTCCAATTATCCGTGGCTCCTTTCAACAGTCTACGTTATTTTCTATCATCTGACGTGACCAGAGCTAGATTAATAGTTAAGCAAAAAGCACGTGTTTAGGGCATTTAGAAAAGGGGGCACAACAAACGGTTACTCAGAAACTGAGGAAAGAATATACCACAAAGTGGTGTTTAGAAATTGAGGAAAGGGGGCGCCACAAAAATTTCTCAGTTTTACCATGGAATGTATGGATGAAAACCGACAGAGAAGAAATGGGAAAAATATGGTATATATAGGGGCATATATAGAGCGAAGATATAGGTTCAAAAGTCGTCTTTATACTAAAAGACATTTTTTCTTTTTGTCTTTGTCCAAAACAAAAAGGTGGCATGTATGTTTTTTCGGCAGGGTAGTTATCGCATTTATTATACTTCTAAATTTTGTAACTACAAATGATTTCTTTCATCAAATACGCTATGCTCTAATTTTCTGTTTCTTATTTAGCTTTTGGATTATGCTTATTAGCATCAATGTATTTGCTACTTATCTACTAGTTCTTGTGAATACTATTCCCTATTTTTGGATTTATTTTGGAGCAATTTTCACGTCAGCACAGTTTATCTGGCTCTTAATCCTGCACTGTAATGGAAATAAAGAGAGGTGCATCGAGCCTATGAATAATGCGAATGGTTTCTTTAACCCCTTGGGTACATTTGACGTCTGAGACACGTCATTCACTATTTTTCCCCTAGGAGCGGATGACGTGTCTAAGACGTCAAACCAAATATTAAACTCTTGGGTACATTTGACGTCTGAGAGACGTCATTCACTTGTTTCCCTAGGAGCGGATGAACGAAACATTCAAATGCTGATTTGATAAACACAGGCAAAAGGAGAAAAAATGAAGGTGGCGATAGCGAAAATATTATAAAACCGGCATCTGTGCTTGAGTATAATAAAGTATGGGAGGCGTTGATAAACAAGACCAATTGCTAGCGTGCTTCCCAGTTATGAGAAATGTGTAAAGGGGTATAAGAAAATTTTTTTTATCTAATAGATATGACATTCTATAATGCCCATGTTTTTTATTCTAAAATCAACTGCACAACCAAGGCAGGCATTACTTCCTTTCGTTTAGCTATTACCGAAGAATTGCTGGAGCAATTGTCATTGCCAAATTATAAACGTCGTGGACGCCCGTCAAGTAGCCATACAAAAAACCATTTCGTTTCGGCAGCGAAAAATTGGGCACAGTTTCCTGAGAACATTCCGTCAACTAAGTCCTAGCAACACCCTGGAAAAAGGTGCCGTGTTTGTTATAAGTATAATATTAGGAAAGAGACTACGTGGCAGTGCAAACAATGCAAAGTAGCACTGTATTTACTACTTGCTTTGAAAAATATCACACTCTGCATAATTATTAGTAACTGGTTTTTGTTATAGCTTGAATTTATTTCATTTTTTTATTTTTGTCGTCATTAATTTATTTTTGTTTTGCAATTATAATTACTTGAAGATATCTTAATACTACATATGTCACCAATATTTTAGAAATAAATAAATTCTTACGTAAAATGTACTGCTTTTACATTCTACTCCAAGCAACCAAAAATTATATCCGTTCCACATGCAAAGATTTTCTCAAATAAATCCGTACCCAAGGGGTTAAACACTCAGTTGAAAGCACAGAGCACTTACAGGACACTGGATGATTTCAGACTTGGATATATTCGAATATTTAAGATTATATGTGGTGTGAGAGAAAATTCTTACTTTGCTGATTCATAATTTCCTGCAGCATAATTAATTTCTCCATTTCAGTCATGAAAGCGAAAAACTGTATTTTGAGGTAAGTTTAAATAATATAAATGTTTTGATTAATATATAAAAATAACATAAGTTGTAGTTTATAATATCCTAATTAAATTATAAGTCTTCGAGTGGTATAATATTGAAGAGCTAGGTAGCGACTATTCGCTGAGTTCTTGTAAATAAGAAGTCCAAAGAAGAGTGAAATTTACCCTTTCTTCCAACTCAAAATAAGTTGACAGATGGCTCCTTTTCGGGCTTGCAGTAAGACTCCACTTAGGATCTACTTAACTAGGATAGGAAATAAGAAACTAATCTAATACTAACCAAAATAAACCAGCCGAAGCTGCACAGAATTAACTAACAGAGTTGAATCTTATTTAAGATCAACGACGGATTCTAGCGGGCTCATAACAATAAGGTCAAACAGCAATAAGCTTAGACTAGTAACGATATGGCCGAAGGCAGAGCACTCTCTCCTACGCTCTTCTAGGGAAGTGACCCAGACTTCAGCTTAAATACTGGTTTCTACCTCATTTACATAAAATGTAATCCTGAAAACTCATTCTCGCAGAGACACGTAGATGGAAGATGAGAAAGAAACGGAAAGGCTTGGTCCAAAATAAAGTTAACGATTGGAAATTTTAAATAAACCCTACAAGTTATTAATATAATCTAGATCAAAAGCATTCATCGATCAATATACAACGACTTCAAAATCTGGATCTTAAAAACATAATATATACGCAAGGTTGAAACAAAACCATTAATGCTTTCTTGAAGTTTATATATTCATTTCTATTATGTGACATCGAACTTTTATTAAGATGCACTTAGGCACAAAGGACATTTCAAAACGAGAAAGCAGAATTTACTCACTCACAAATACAAAAGTATTATTTCTTGCAGCACAAAAAGTGATTAAAAAGAAAAGTGTTAAAAAGAAAAGAAAATAAATTGTACGCTATGAAAAACGCTACGTAAGCACATCTGATAACCTTTACGGTGCTGAAAATGGTCGGCATTCACCCGAATGCTGACCAATTCCTAATGCACATTGGTATGGCAACTATAGGAGTGGCTTTTAAAATGGACTAATGAGCTTTAACTGGAAATTTGCTGACGTGATGTTTTGTGATAAGGAGAATTAAGAATCCATTTTCTGAATTTCTGTAGCGTATTTATACATTCATGTTCTTTCTAAATTCAATTAATCAAGAACTGAGGCCTTCTTGCACATCATTGCAGTTTTAATTACTTTGCAAATAAAATTTAACATCAAAATGTTTCCCTCGATTAAAAATCAATGGTAAAATTCTCAAGAAGCAACAAAAGTTGATAGTTAATTCCCAGAAACAACCATTACACACCCATTGGTCCTCTCCTATCCGCTGAGAATAACAATGTGCAGTTAGGAAATTCGCATTCGGGTGTTCCATACGAAGTTTCTATGTCAGTTCGTAGGATGATTTCTGTATCCTGAATAATTCCACGCTTCTCACATTCAAGTTGAGTAGCAGTTATGAAAAGTACTGTTGAAGTTCTTGTAAAGTGGTGTTTTGGGGAGACGCACATTATATCTTTAATAAATGCCCGTCAGAAAAATGTCAGTTCTCCGCCTCCTGTTTTTTAATAGCTTTCATGCTAATATAAACACACTAACTTGCCTCTAAATTTTAAAGCCTGAGCAATCAAGAAAAGTTTTGCATAACACGTCAGTGAATTATTAGATTTTTGCTAATTTTCAAGTTTTTGTAAGCAATGTAGAAAGCAATCACAAATCAACTCGTATAACATTGTATTTTAGGTTGCGTTAGTTTATTTTAATATGGTAAAATCCTGAAAGCTATCCGCCTAAGATGCTTTGTGGAAGATTTTCTGAGGTAAACTCTCTCGCATTCACATTACACATGGGGAAATCCACGAATCAACCCTGCAGTCAGTTCATTCGTTTGAGATCGAAAACAAACCAGTTCTAATTATCAGTATTCAGAAGTCTTAAACCCTCGGCCTCTTCTGCGGTACTATGCAGCATTATACATTGCAGTTCAAATTCTTAAATGAGCTTCAAACGGTGCTTCATACAGTAGCTTCTTCGATATTCATTCACTCTCTAAATATAAGTTTTAATGATATACATATGTATATGCTACCGTTATTGAAAATACAGCACAGAATATGCTGCCTCAAATTTTTTATTTTTACATATTTTCGAAAAGTATTTGTTTTGGTTTGATACTTATAAAATTTTTCATTTATATTTTGTCAAAAAATAATTTATACGTTTCAATTACGAAAACATATAAATAAACCTGTAACCAAGAGCTCCTCTTCTGGACATTGGTAAAATCGTCTCGCTGCTTGATTGCCTCTACAAAAATAAAAATGAAAAGAAACTAAAATTGTATTAATCAGAAAATTGTAGCAATAAGCTTAACAAGCACAGCAGTATTTACGCATCAAAATATTATTGAAATGCTCAGTTCAAAACAGCGAATAATACGTTCAATAAAATGAAAATATTTACATATAATCACACGCAGTAATAATGTCAGAATTAATGACTCTCTTGCGTTAGGTGTTCTACTATCCTAGAGTAAATAATTTGAACAAAAGCAAAGAGCTTAAAAATGCAGTACTCAGTTGATTAAGAAAATTCTGTATTTTTTTGAGACAAAACCTTATATAAGTATTAGATATAAGTTTTTAAATACAGTTTCAGCTCTATAATTACTTTCAGATTCCGAGTTTTGAAATCTTGTCTAAAACTCGACGTAAATAAAAATACTGAAACTGTAAACAGAAAGGACTTATATTAAAAAAGGAAAGGAATCATAACGTATACAACGAATGCATTCTAATCTTTTGGGCTTCAAACATTCTTTCCATCAAATTATTAATTTTTTAATATTTAGTGTCCCCGTTTTATAACAATCTGTACAAACTTATCTCTACATATAATAAAAGGAAGAGTCTGTCTCTCTCTCTGTGTGTCTCTCGTTTGTGCTGCGCGTAAGCTAATAGACCCAGAGCTACGAAATTCGGTACATAGGGTGCATTTAGACAAGAGTCAGTGCACCTAGAAGCAAGTTTTTCAAAGTTCGGTAGAGATTTTTTCTTTTCTTTTGTATTTTTTGATGAAATCGCATCAAATCGATAATTCTCTCTCATTATATCAGCAACAATGGCACGTAGCCATTGTTGCTGATATATCACTGTTGCCATTCGGAGAAATGAGGGCGATCATTCTGTGCAGTTTTTAAATTTAATGTTTCTCTTGGATACTGGACGTTTGTCGAGAGAAGACAACGGGAAGTTGGTTAATTAATTTATTAGGATAATTAGTATTTGCCTTAAGGGATATTGCTTATTTTGTTGTCATTTTTTTGATATGTAATACATATTTATTGAAATTTGTATTTTTTTTTAATAAAGTTGTTCTCCAGAGTAAAATTCTGTGCAGTTTTTAAATCTAATGTTTGGTGTCCCTTTAGGCATTTGGGACCGGTACATTTAAAAGCCAGACGAGGGCTGGCAGCGTAGCGGCTAGTAGTAAATAAATTCTTGTACTATAAAACATTTCACTGTGCTTTCGAAAATGACAAGTACAATGCACTATCTTTCACTGAATTCCGATCACAGAGAGCTTGCACGGAATCACACAACAATAATCTAAATTTCATTATAAAGGAAACTGCTCTCTTGAAAACAATTTATTACCTTTTGATTTTACTTTTTAATTTCATTTGTCGGACTGAAAAAAGGCCTTTCTAAACGCATCAACGGTAACAATAAGCGCCGTAAAAAGAAATGTTCATATGATTGGTAAAATAAATGTTCAGACGAAAATTATCCAGTAGCTCAATTGGGAGACTTGTGTTTGCGCAAAGTCATCCAAGCAGTAAAAATGTATTTAACTATAATTAAGGTTTTACCAATTTTAAAAATAACTATAATAAAATTACGTATAGTGATTTAGAGAAAGGTATTTTTAAAAGTTTTCGAAACTGAGAGGGCATATTTTAAAGTGGGTAGCATTTTTTTGTTTTAAAGAGTTTAAAAATGAAACGAGGAAATAATATTTAAATTTTATTTATACTTACACTGGACAATCTTTGAATATTGGATCTGACGTTCGTCACTGAGGTTTGCCTTTGTAAGTAAATTCCATTACTGTATTTGTCAGCTTTAGGTGTAGAAAGATGTGATCCACTGGTCTCCTAAAATAGATCACTAAACTGAAATATTTCTTATGAGATAATTTATTCAAATGGTAATATAAACTTAACATAAGGGACACAGCATGTCTTGCCCTTGTACTACTATTTATCCAAATAAAGATATTCATTATTTTAAAGCGCTGAGCTTCGTCCATTCAAAATTTATTTTGAGAAGAGTAGACAGACAATGTTACCTTCTTTCAAGTCAAACCTTTCTCTTTCTGACTCTCTTAGACGACTGCTTTAGAAACTTTTTTTTCTCCATGCAGCCTTTTCCTCACTGCTAGAAGATCATTCTCCACCCTTTACTTTCCAACACGCGGAAAGTACATGTACAATTATTTAGATTTAAAGAATTATTTAACGGCACAGCAGGAAGCAGGTGAAATCAAGCTGATCGTATTCGCGCTCTGAAACTATGAAATCGCCCCCCCTCCGGTTGAGAACCACAGTTTAGACTGTGAGATGTATCCTATCTATCGGTTCAGAAACGTCATTTTCCTCACAGAAGTGACAGAAAACTTGCTTTGGAGTAGGAAGTCGATGTCACCACCCTGGTTGATCTTGGTCGAGAAGAGCATACCCTTGTAGTCTAGTAACCTTGGTTTATTCTTTACAAAACGATAAAAGAAAAATAACACCAATCTGAAGTTCATTACAAAATTCAACTTCATATCAGAGTTGGTTTCAGAAAGCTGTACATTTTGCTAGAATTTGGTAAAAAATTTATTTTTAATAAAAATTTATTTTTAATAAAAATTTTTTACACTTTGTGCACATCCGAGACAAATTCTTTTCTTGCAAAACTTGTCGTGTAGACTTTGAGTATGCTAAGGTCTTTTGTCGACTAACAAAAAAAAAAAAAAAAAAAAAAAAAAAAAAGGCAGAGCCTGTACCAGACGAAAACTCTGCCCATTCTGGAAAAAATTTCAAGCGAAATATATATTTATTATTTGCATTATCTTTTCTCCGGATAATAAATCTGGAAACACAGTAATGTGGCAAGGCTTTGTATGTGACTTTCAAAAGTATTTTCATGTTATTAACGTCATTTGCATATATTATTATTTTAGCCCAAAAGAGCTATTAGTTATGACACATGATTTTACATTAATTGTCTTTAAATGTTGTCCACTGTAAATGCGTTGTTCCATTTTTCATCCTAATCTGTTGGCATTTGACAAAATGTAACATAATTATCTTTCATATTATCTGACTATGGATTAACAAACTAAGCTATTTGAAAGTAATAGATGCAATAAGAATATAATTTTCTTACTTTTTAAATGGAATGGAATATAAATTCATTTAATTCATGCTATACCTAAAAAAATATAATAAAGACGTGTATAGAATTTCATTACGTATTTTTTCACTTTTCAACTACACAGAAGTTATATCACGTTTGCGAGTTAATCTAAATGTATATTAATTTAATATCACATAAAAAGGTTCACCATTCCACTTCGGTGATCTCTACTGACAAACCATAGTAAACTTTAAAAAACTCATTTTGGGCGACAGTTAAAATTTGGAAATATTCATTTTTTTTCACCAAAATTGCAATAAGTTTACTTTTGTTAACTTTCAGCAGGTTTAAAGATTAGTTTTCAGTTAGCATATACAAGAAATTAGAGGGTCGAAGATGAAGATAAGAAGAAACGAGAGATAATATCAATATTCATAGACGTTTAGGAAGTTTTAGAACAGACTAAAACTTTTTCCTGTTCTTAAACTGAAAGGAAGCCCGATGGATTAAACAATTTCTGTCGCGAAAAGTCTGTTTCAGCTGAAGATGATTCAGCCAAAAGGCAAAAAATAATATATGACGGTTTTACTAAAATGTAGCATTTTTTAATATAGTACATTCACGTTGAAAATAATAAATGTAATCTGTTTAAAATGCGCTATCTATTTGCATTGTGTAAGTGTTTCCCAGCTTAATCGCTTTCCTGAATTCATCGTTTTTTCCCTCTGTCCTGTAAAAAATGGGAAGTCAAGAATCTACTCTACTCAAAGCAGGATTAGATTAACCCGCGGATATTATGTTGAATTCATATCTGAAAAAAACAATTTTTGAACGCATTCACTCGGGTGCGCAGAAATAATTTAGTTCGATGTACCCGAGTTAACTCAATTAAGTACACTAAGAGGTTAAGAAATCTTTCAGTCATGCATTATATTTATAGAAATTAAGAAAACCTTAAACGATTATAAATCAACTAATAATCCTGATTCCTTTGAGCAGTATATGAAAAAAAAAACAAGTCCTAAGAAATGAATAACAGTCTGTTCTTTTAACCAGTTAACTGTGATTGACGAGTATACTCGTTATGGAGAAGCGACACGATTTTGTGTATTGACGAGTATACTCGTCATCGTATATTATGTTAATGAAATGGAAAGATAAGAGGGAGGTTTATTTAGTAAGTACTGTACATAATGACAACGTAATAGAAACAGAGAAAAGAAAAATAATAACAAAGAAACCGGAGCTAGTGATTGATTATAATAAAAAAATGGGTGGAGTGGATATGAACGATGGAATTATCATAGCGTACTCCACAGCAAGAAAACGACCTAAAAAGTACTACAAAAAGATATTTCTCTATTTCTTAGATGTTATGTGTCTGAATGCATTCATATTATATAAAAAAAATAATGGAACATTATCGCGTATCAACTTTTTGCTCAAATTTATTGAAGACACTTTTGCGTCGTATCCAACTAAAAGAACTAAATCGACACCAAACTCGGCCATTTAGACCTAATATAAGCCAATTAGGCGGGAATCATGTTCCGGATTATATACTCGGAACATCGGAAGAAAACAACCCTACGCGAAGGTGTTCGCATTGCTACAAATGTAAGATCACGAAGGAATCGCGTTACTGGTGTTCGATTTGCAAAGTCCCATTGTGTATAGTACCCTGTTTCTTTGAATATCACTCCATAGCAGGAATTTAAATTCTTACTTTTATATGTATAATATTTAATTTAATTTATTGCGTTTTTAGTTTAATATGTATGTATTATATGCTTATGTCAACCAAATAAGTAAATATTAGTAATAAAGTTTTCAATTTTATAAAACAAACCCATCTTTTTCATCCAATATCTTACCAGCCCAACTTACTCTGTGATTGACGAATATACTCGTCATGGTTCGATTCTGGCGACACAAAACGGTGCGCGCTCTGAAACGAGAGCGCCACAGTTAACTGGTTAATATCGCTTACCCTTCCATAACACACAGCAACAGGTATTACAAGAATAATAAAGTACCTTTCCTGTATTGAAGGGTCTTATGAGGAATGTCTCAATCTGCTCTTTCTGCAAATATGGATCTCGTAAGTGCCCATTTCCTGGTCTGATGTCGTACCCATCGTCCAATAAATTAATTCTCGTCTTCTTCGTAATATGAACCTGGCTAGGAAACAAGACCAATCTTTATCTTGCCTTTTTCTGCCAAAAATGAAAAATACTTCTTCAAAATGCGATAAAACAATGAAGAATCGTTATAGTATGGCTTCATTAGTCTGCGTGATTTGCAGTGCCCAGACATGAAGTGATAAAGACACGATGTCAAATTACAAAATATTTCTTTTTGAAAATTAATAATGATGCAACAAAATGCACATTTTTCTTTTAATTAACTAATTTTAATGTTACTTTAACTGATAAATGTAATATCTGATTAGTAGACTTCATCGCATGTACTACATTGGTATGGAAAAACTAATGACAAGGCGGATAATTTAGCATAAAAACAAGGCAAAAGAATGGAACCAGAAAACGTCAGGAGATAGACTTGGGATCAGCGCAGAATTGTAAATATGGACCAATGGTATATGCACGTGCGCATATGTGTGATATAATTTAGAGGGAGGAGTGTCGGAATGATATAAAGCTCAAGGGCGGTGCACGCTGAGCAATTCGATGAAAGTTATTACACAGTGCACAGTGACTTCAAGAACGTCTACTTGTTGGTACTATGTGTTATGGCCAACAAACTATCCAGGAGACATCATCTGGATGACTTTACTGACGTCAGATCATTGGGAAATTGAATGAAAGTCATTGTGATCAATATAGCTGAGGAGTCGGGATCACTCACAGCATCATTTTACGAATCTCGAGAACATTTTAAACGGCAGGAATACCTGTTCGAGAGTTCAAAAATGGTCGTTCAATGGCGGTGGACCGATCAATATATTGTCTTTCTGAAGAGACGAAATAGTCGGCAGGCAGCGTAAGATACAGCAATGCACGTACAATAGACTACTGAATATCTGATATCCTGTTTACCGTTACCAGAAGACTGCACCAACGGAGAACGACCAGTACGGTATGTGCCGTTAACGCCTAGTTACCAGAGACGCTGGTTTCTGTGTCGCAGGAGCACAGAAACTGGGCACAATAGAAGTGGGGTCGACTGGTGTTTAATCCCTTAAGGACCAGCGCCGGGAGAACGAAGCGCAGTCATGGGATCGGACCCTCTGAAATGGATAATTACCACCGGCTCGCGCATTTTCAGCAGCCTAATTTTACAAACAAAATCGTATAAAAAGTATAAAAACAGCATTTTGATATTATCACTTCAATTTTTGATGCTGCGTATTTAATTAACTTGTTTTTAATGTGTATTAATATAAAGAATATCACATTAATAGAAATAAATCAAACAGGCAAAATACTAAAATCATAACTATACACACAGAAATAGTAAATACTATAAACATGAAAAAAAATTCAAAAAATACGATATTAAAAAAAAAAAAAAGAAAGAAGAAAGAAAGAAAGGGGGGAAAAAACTAAACAAGAATTACCTGTAGGTAATTAAATTCTAGTTTAAAAATTCTGCTTGTGTGAGAAATAATTCAAAACAAGGATCGACACACAGTCCTACATTGCATATTTCGCACTCAAAACACGTTGTTTGCTTTCGCCTTTCCTTGGTTTTAGCGCATACAACGCATCTTCTCCTACCTTTATTACGGCCCACCAACGGCCGAGCGGTAAAATCGCTAAACACTGGTAGTTCGGTTTGAGGTTCGAATTCCGCGAACGGGCTTGCTGCATGGGCGTTTTTGTGATTTTCCCCATGTGTAACGTGTATACGAGCCAATTTCCCTTAGAAAGTCCTCCACGAAGGCATCCAGCCCTAGTGTGCTTTGTCATAATTAAGTAAACCGAAACCGAAACCTACCTTTATTACCTCCTCCGTCAATATAAATTTTCGGAAACTGTCTTCCAGTTAGACGGAAAGGTGGAGTGTCCGGTGATTTTGGACAAGTTTTTAGGTAAGGTCTCTTAGCCATGGCTAACGGAATGAAACTGAATATAATCCCAACACATATCACAAAACTTCAAAAGAAACTCAGAAATATTTAATTCTCAAACACTGTGTGACATCAGGTTTATATTAGAAAACTTCCTGTTTTTCTAAATCGAAAATAGCGTCCACGATTACCGGAAAGTGATGAAGGAAACACCTCCACTGGCGGGATATCCGTTACTTATCATGTCAATCTATACATTATATATAATTACATTATATGTAAAGTAAATACATTATATACAAAAATATAATGCCTGTTTCATTATAGTATATAGTGACCATTCAAGGCATTATATATTAAATCGAATAACAAAACCAAAACGCTGGCTCTTTCCTGAGAAATGCGAGACGCGTCGAGAAAGGCTGATAGTCTTTCCCCTTCTGTAATAATGTTGTAATGTTACTTTTTAATTAACCAAGAAAGCTTATGTTAAGTTTCAAAATAAATAGAAAAACAAACAAATAAATAAATAAAAAAGAAAGTCCTATCGAAATAAACAAAAAAGCCCTTTAATTCACAGGCGCACTTATAAAGAGCCGTGATTTCCAGTTTATTTATTTCAATAAATCTCTCAAAACCAGAAGCACAAAACAGAAACTAATGCCAATACAAGAAGATCAAATGCCGTATGAATCAATCCATGTGAAAACGATTACCACTTAGCTCCATTTACTGGCTTTTAAAAATTCAAATAAATCGTTTCGTTTAAATGTCATGTATACGCGACGCTGGGTTCCTAGGAGCAGAATCGTTGGGTCGCGTGTACGGGACGCTGGGCTGGTAGGAGTGGAATCGTTGCGTCGCGTATACGCGACGCTGGTCCTGAACGGGTTAAGGATGAGATCCGATTTAATCTGATGAGCGACTCTAGACCTGTATACATCTGGTGACAGAAGGATAAACAGTCACCCCTCCAACATCATTGAAAGGGATCGCGAGATGCCGGGGTTCTTGTTTGGGGTGTTATCATGCTTGGTAAAAGTACTGAGCTCCGCATTTCCCAAGTAGTGTCCGCTATTGAAATGACGTTCTTTCGAATCATGTATATCTGTTTAGAGGTACTGTGGGCTCGGACCTTTTCTTTATGAAAGTCAACGCTTTATGGAAGCCAACGTACGACTTATCGTACGGTAGTTATCCCAAAGCTCTTGAAAAGGGAAGACATTGAACGACCGGATTGATCTGCGAGATCTCCGAATCTAAATTCCATAGAAGACGTGTGGGTTCAAGAGACGTTTTGCAGCACATAACTAGCAACCCAGCAACGATTCCACAGCTAAAATTCGTGCTGAGAGAAATGAGGAGCGATGTCTCAACAACTCCTTGACTCCTCAGCATAGGCAGGCACTGTAATTCCTGTATCGCAGTCAGGATTGATTACATCCCCTTTAACGACTGGATTTTCCTTGCAAGGCGCCTGTCATATAGGCGTTTTTTTCTTTTCCTTACTTGTGCTTGGAGCTTCTTTTCTTTAAACTGTTTTTTTATCTTTTTGATTCCTTGCTCAGAGGATTTTGTTCACTTGTCTTATATTTCCATATCTTGGCGATTTTTATTGCATAATTTAGGTCGATGTGAAACATTTTTGCACAGCGTTACATTCAAAAAACATCCCGTTCGTAAATTTTGCATACCAATGTATTACAACTCTACCTATCCATACTTATGAATACTAAATCCATATATGAATAAATATTATGTTCCTAACAACTGGGCAGTTCCCTCGGGGATGGTCTCCTGTTCTCTTCCCCTGCCATAAAGCCTCTCGAGAAGACTTTCGGCTCTCCAGTATTTTAAGTGCCGCCATGTCGCACAGACACTATACAGTTATAAACATGTAAGTCAACAGTGCTAACCATTATACTTATTAGGCGAGCAATTAAGTAACTTACTTAAATTTAAACTGCTGTTAAGTATTATAACAATTCAATCCGCATTTCTGTGGGTTGTTTAATTGCTGTATATGAGAACAAATGAAGACATCTGAAATGAAGAGACAGTATTCACTTATATAACTTTGTAAGAAATATTCGCTAAATTTTAGGACAATAAAATACCCAACGATTAAAGGCACGAAATTTTGGCAGTTCTACCCAGCTTCGTGCCTGGGTAGTTAAACATATTGGTTGCATGAGATTTTGTGGTTTTCCTCGAGTTGTAACACAAATACGAGGCAATTTCTGAGAATCCTATTCGAAGGCCTTCTTTCCTATAGCTTTGGAATGTTCAACCAGGATCTAATAATAAATATGTAGTAACATTGCAGCGGCATCGCCAAACAAGCCCCAAACAGCAGAGCAAACCGCCAATGGGCGAAAGACAGTCTAAACCTGTATGGCAACCTTACAGGCTGACGGAGTGGGACGAGGTTCTTTCCAGCAGCTTGACCGGAATGTGTGAACCCCGGTATCCGTGTCTGTGTTGGGTTCTGTCTTTTTCAGGCTCTTAGAGTGTATCCAACTCTGGCAACTATGTTGTTTTTCGTTATTAAATTTGATTAGTAATTGCTATATGTCTATTTTAATTAAGACTGCTGTTTGTCTAGTTAATGCTGTCGATACTCTCTTAGGCACGTGTTACCCACACGTACCTCAACATGTTAACGCAGAAAAGCCAAAATTCTATAGAAAAGACAGAATAGTTTCCAAAGGCAACATAACATAAATTAATCGCTGTTGCAACCATAAGACGTAGCTAAATTTTAAGAATACTTACAAGCCGCAGCTTTTAAAAAAATCCCCCCCCCTCGGAGTTTATAGGTCGATCATGGGTCTGTGGGATATACCAAGTAATAAAGGTGATGCTATTAGTTTCTTACAAGAGTATAATGTATTTTCGAGTAACCGTTAATGTTCCACTTTGCACTAAATCATTTTATTTGAATCAATAGCGCATGGCGATGTTCGAAGGATATGGAATCGGTGGAAATGCGAGTCGACAACTTTTCAACAAGTAGATTACAATTTGTTACTGTCATCAGATTTATCAACTGCTGGTCTAAGGAAATGATATCAATAAAATATTACATGGAAGATTTCAAGATAGCTGATACTATTGTTATAGATTGGAACACAATAATTTGACAGAATATGCGTCTACGAGACGCAGTGATAGAGAAATGAAAACGCGGAACAAGAAACATAGGGATGCAGTAAGACACATTTTGAAGTCGTACTTAGCAGGAAGTTGTAGTTTGAGTAAAAACAATTCGTAGCTGTTTTAGAAGTGATTACCAAATATTTTCCACTAGAAGTAAGAAAAACTAATCGTATTACCGCCAAAGTTGGCCACATATGGGTTTTCCGTTAAAACTTAACTACCAATAAGTATTTAAATTTTAAGGTCAGTTTTTCTAATGCAAATCTGTCTCGTGGAATTTGGAGTCATCAATGGCCGAATGGTTTAAAACCCCTGAGTACTAATATTTTAGTCCTGACTTGAGTCCCAGCAAACGAACTGGATGTAGGAATTATTTTTATGCTTTCTTATAACATAAATATGAGACATTTTACCTTTGAAAGATTTCCACCAAGAAACGCCTTTCAGACAGCCCTTCATAGTATTTAAATTATAAAAATATTTCCTGTAATTCAAACAAACAAACAAACAACTCGTAAAACTTTGGGTAAATGTATTTTAACCAAGCACGTTTTCAATATGTTATTCTTACCAGTTCCTTCAATATAAAGATGTTTGAATTTGCTTTTTTTTTCTTTATCTTGCATCAGTTAACTTAAAAGGAATTCCCAGCATTTGGATTTGCATTTGAAAGTTTCAGCTTGAAGAGACATGTATTAAAATGGAGCAAAATAAGAATTTGTTCATTTAAAATATTCCGATTGTTGTTATATTTATTATTGATACTCATAAATGCATTTTCTAACCTTTGCATCTCTTTCATCTGTGATATATATCCGTTTTTTATAAATTTCTCTTTAACCGAATTTTATGCATATGTAACCGTTCGTATCTCATAGAAACAAAAATATTTACATAGAAGGAAAAGGCATTTTTACTTTACTGAATGTACATGCGGATATGTGTTAGAACCTTTCTTAATCCTGCTGAATAAATAATACTGCATAATGCCACATATAAATCACTTGTTTCACCCATTTTGCAAAGCGAAGAATATTGGTTATTACATTTTAAAGGGCGTTAGATTATTATACTAAAAATCCCTAATTGAATATTGCTTAGCTATTCATTTTTGCTAATCCATTTAATCATTAATAGTATAAGTTAATGGCCACCCACAGCTCGAGATGAACTTTGCTTTCTGAGGAGATGGATATCTTAATGAGGATATATATGTTCAACGCCGATTTTGATTAATCTTCTCAAAAAAAACCTGACCACTTTCAGAGATGGTCACATATGGGGTTCCAATATGACTGTGCGTCTACCCATGGTGGCGTATAACGTATCTACCAGCATTAAATAAAAACAAAAAGATGGTGAGTTTTTGAAGTAAATTCATATGTTTGTGAAATTTTAGGATATATATAGGCATTTATTGCAGTGTTTAATACCGACAATACAATATAGACATCAGTGAACCTTGAAAAAAATGTCCTCTAAATGTCCTTGGATGCACTGTTCGAGGAGATGCGCAAAAGTTTCCCAGACTTCTCTTAACATGTCCTGTGGAAGAGCATCGGACTTTACAGCCATACTTGTGCTTGCTGTTGCGCTCTACTATTGGAATCATACTATATCCTCCAACTATACTCCCCACATTTCCACAATTCCCATTGGTAGATAAGATATGCGCAGTATTATATACACACTTTACATCAAATTCTATTAAAGCTTCACCAAATTAGGTTAGGTATGTTATTTTAAAAAATATCATATTTAAAAAATAACATACCTAACCGAGTCTACCCGAGACAGCTATCTGTATGAGGCCTCAAATTTCTGTAGGTTCGGACTTCCTCTTTATGACCGACAACGCTATGACTCATTGTACAATAGCTGTCGCAAAGCTTTTGGGGAGTGATTATATTCAATCCATGGATTCAATGCTTGACAGCACGTGAACAGATGCCAGCAACGCTTTCGTAGTTGAAATTATTTGAGTTTCAAAGCTTCAAAAGCTCCCTGACAACCTTGTACTCAGCATGGACAGACGTTGTGATTTCTGCATCTCAGTCAGGGGTGATCATATCCCCTCTAAAGAGTGGATTTTTTTGCCAAGCACCTGTCACATTGACGTTTCTGTCTTCTCCCCAGATGCGCTATGAGCTAGCTTTTCAATAAAGTGTATTTTTATCTTTTTTATTCCTTCTTCGGATGGTTTTTGCCATTTATCAAATCTCTTCTTATCTTGGGGATCTTATGGTATGATTTGGACCCATGTAGAACACTTCTGCACGAAATTACATTCGAAAATCCATCTCATCCTTAAATTTTGCACTTATGTATTTGCACAAATGTATTCTTATAATTGTGGTGCCAAGATTATTGATAAATCACCAACGTGCGTCGAAAATCATCGCCAAGGGACCGACAATCCTAAATATTATTTCTTAGAACTTTTTCCTTTCGAAAAGAGCTCTGAGTAGGCCACGTGTTATCATTGTATTTCTATCTCAGTTTCTAATATTTTTCCAAAATAATTAAACATTATTAAATTTGCCGAGGAAGATACCGAGGACCGTTAGCCGTTTGGGGACAATTTTGACATATATTAGCAAATTATCGATAATGTTGGCGGCCATAATATTACAGAAGTATCAGATTTCATTCATAAGTTCACAATTCTTTCGCGTAATATATTTAGAATATTAATAAATCTAAATCACTGAAAAACATCAAATTTGTTAGGGTAACTTCAATTAAAAATAATTTGTCTAAAATTCTGTAATCACAACAACATGACAGTCCTGGTGCACTTTGTTATAATTATTTAAGCAATGAAAGATGAAAATAAATTAGTTTGCAAAAGAAATGGTTAGACAAAAGGAAAAATATAACTACGAGAAAAAACGGCATATTGCACTGCATTGTTCACCTGAAATTCATTCCGAGGTTTTGCCAAGAACTTAAAAAAAGAGAAGAAAAAGAAAGGGAAAAAAGAATTCCATAAATTTAGAATTTTTAGAATTTGTTTTAAGTTCTCTTAAAACAAATTCTAAATTGCTAACTTGTATTGTCTTAGTACCCTATTGAAATGTGATGGTATGAGTAGCCTTGTAATTCAATAAAAATATCTTCACGCTATATTTTTTATGAAGCACATTATAAAAGTTTTCTCTCTTAAATCACGTATCCTTAGTCACGAAATCATAAAAAAATGCGAGAAAACTTAAGCAAGTGAATATGATAATATATTAAAACTAAAAGCACCTTTTTAATGCAAATATTTATTATTTTTAGCAATATTTAAATTTTTTCTATTGTAAAAAATTCCATTGTTAGACAGGAAAAACTTCATAACATAATAAACCAAACGAAATAATAAAAAATACATTCAGAAATAACAAAAAGATAGTTCGTGATGTTCGAATAACATCCAGACATGAAACCGGATATTCATGACATGGATTTCACGAGCACTTTTTTTTTTTTTTTTTTTTTTACCTTTTTTATTCCGCTATTTATGATACCATGTTGTAAAGCCCTGCTATTACACGGCAAACCTGCAATCACGAATTAAACTTATTTTTAATACGTACCCTGGTACACCTGCTTGTTCCATGTGACTCGCAATAGTAACGTCTTTAGACCAGATATCGAACTGCCATTTTCGGAGTCCCAGCAAGCCTCCAAATATATTACCTGTATGAATACCAATCCTCATATCTACATTGATGCAACGTTTTTCACGAACACTTCTGGAAAATATTAATTGTAAAATACGAATATACTACTTTAACTTACTCATGCTGAACATTAAAAATTTTTATAAATTTAGGTAATCATGATTTTCACACTTACATCTTGATAGTTCAGACTCTGGAATATTCATCAGTGACGTAGCTAGAGGGAGGCGGTATGCCCCGTGTGGCGGATTTTTAGAGGTAGCACTTTTTGAGTGAAACATTATTTTATAGGAGTTGTTCAGAGAGATCATCGAGATAAGTGAAGAATAATCAGATTCTAAAATTGCCGTACAGAATTAAATTGAGAAGAAAATAGTATACAAGGTGAATCTGATCAGGTGGACAAACTTTAGGGGGTGATAGAAGACTAAAGCAACATTTTTCATAGAATTATGGTAGGAAACCAAGCGGTGAGAAGTGAAAAGGTAGTTTTCCACTGTCATATTTAAAGAATTAACACAAGAATGAGAGGAGATACTTCAGAAGACATTTTAACAGAACATACTCATAGAAATTGCTCAAAAGACCGTCTGCCAGCTGTAATGCAGGCTTCACACCTACAAGATAGGGATTGATGCACATTTGCGAAAAGACCAGGCATTTCCCGAAAATCGCCGGCAACAACGGCGATCCTGGCGACTAGATTCATATCAGTTTGAAATGACCACTCGTAGATTACGCTTTTCATATGGTCCCACAGGAAAAAGTTCAAACACAAGAGATCCGGTGATCTTGGTGGCTAAGCTATAGGACCATCTCTACCAATCCATCGCCCTGTAAATTTCGTGGTTCGTATAACCAGCAATACTCTCGGCAATCCACGGTAGAAAATGCCGTTGGGTTTCAGTTTCAGTTCTGATGTTAAGCCGCGAGTAGCTTGCAAATTTGCTCGCTTTTTTCCGGCTGTCGCAACATAAGGTGCTACTACGAGCGATGCAGTGAGTTGAATGCTCAGGGTGTGTCCGGAGGACAAACTAGGAGTTGGAAGGGTCGGGACCAATAGTCACATGTGACGTGGCAAGGCATCGGGTTGGCTGTCCAAGACGAAGTATCTAAAATATAACATGCAAAAATAATGCTGTTGGGTGGTAAGACCGACCCTTTTTATATCATTTAATTACAATGCCATCTAGCGGTTCGCCGTTTGTGTTCCGATCATATATTCTATGATGAATATTGCTGGTACAGCTGACTTGTATCGCCCACTTGTTCAGATTCACCCTGTACATAAAGTATTCAAAGAAATCACGACAGAATTTCAAAAGGTAAATATTTTTGTTCCATCGAAACTTTTGAATGCAAATTACGAATATCAACTCAATAATGATCATGGTAACATCCACAAGGGAGAATTTCTCGTCAAGAATGGAATATTTCAGAGTTTTATTTCCATTATTGCTAGTGAAATAGAAACAGGAAAGCGGAACAGTAGTCCTTTTGAATTTTTGCAGTTTATTCTAAACTACGATTTCCAGAACACAGCTGCAAATATTGTAATGCTAGTGCGAACTTTGATCGCAATTGCTGTAAGTGTTGCAAATTGTGATAAGCATTTTCTAAATAAATATCATTTGAGAAGTATTAAAGGATTGAAAATTTCTATTTTGTATTTAAGAAATCTTTCTGTGCTGTCTACAATCAAACAGACTTTACAATGTCACTCATGGGTTTGTAAATAGAAAAAAAAAAAAAAAAAAAAAAAGAAGCAAAATGATAATATAATTTTAAAAAAGTTGGAAATTAAGTTTTTCTTCAAATTAAAGCATAGAGTTTAACTTTATTTCCATACAAGACGTTTCGCCAGTTTTTGTAGTTATTTGTTTGTATATGAAGAACAACGGCAAATTCAGGAACCGCCCCACGGTAAATTCATGGGCCGCCCCGAGCAACTAGCCCAGGCGGCCCATGAGTAATAAGCCTGCGATAATTCTAGCTATGCCACTGGTACTCATTTTCAACCAATTTTACTTGCAAAAGCTGGGAAGTTCATATGAAAAGTATAATTACCTAATTATATCGATCATTTCAAGGCCGGTCACTACGCAATTATCCGCATGCCTAGGGTTTCTGTATGGTACTCCACTGACACAATAGTAACAGTCGCCAAGCAACTTGATTCTCATACAGCCATTGTTCTGGAGAACGGAAAAATAGATTGCGTTTAAAAATTAAGTGCATTAACTATAATATTTTCACTTGTGCTTAACACGTTCGCTGCCATGTGCGAGAATACTCGTAGTTGCCAAATTTAGTTTACTTGATAGCTTATTAATCACCATACCTAAATCATAGAGTATTGCCTTAGCAAATACATAGGGGTTTTAGGTTTTAGGCATAGGAGTTTACGTTTACGGGTTTGGTGTAGAGGAGGGGACTAAAATGGCACACTAAAATGGGTCATTTATTTTTTAAAACTTAGACACAATAATTAAATGTTTAGAACGTAAAGCGACTGGGGAATTTTTCACTTGGAAAATGTTAAAAATGGACTGTCCAAAGTCTTGTTCAGTGACTCTGTCAGATTAAAGGTCCATTATGCACTAACGGAACATTGCTGCCAAGAAAAATGCTGTAGCTTGAATGCTGTGCTTAACCTAAGCCTAATAATTGCAATTTTCCGTATCTTAGGCATGCGTCAACCGGCTCAAATCCCCTTTCAAAACTGGTCGCTCTACTTCGGTCAGACGGAGCAACTGAGTTAGCGTACGTTTCTTGGATTGGTTTTGGTTTATTTAATTATGGCAAAGCACTCGAGGGATATCTACTTAAGGAAAGGGATGCCATCGAGGAAGTCTTTCTGAGGAAAGCTGGCTCCTATATACGTTACGCATGAGGAAAAACACGAATGCCATGCAGCTCATTCGCCGGAATTCGAACCCCGGATCGAACTTCCATTGTTGAGCGACATTACCGCTCGGCGCTGGTGGGCGTACGTTTCTTGAAAGCAATGTTTCGTTGGTGTTAACGGCCTTAATAGGAAATAACTTATCGTACGTATATGAATTTCGCCCTGAATGCTCAGAAAGGGTAAGTATTGTTCATCTAATTCCAGGTTAACTAGCAATTGGGAGGGACCAAAAATACTATTTCGGTACTTTTCCGTTTTGCCGGCGCAAGCGATAAAGTCGCCAATAATGGTACAACCGATGCCAAACGGAATATTCTCGCTGGTAACCTTTTACGCCTCATTCAAATAGTTCAGTTTATGTCTAAGCCATTTTCGGCAATTAAATCAATTAGATGCAATCACGCGCTTACCCGAAGCCGAAAATATAGAAAGGTAAGTCAGGGTTAAATTCATCAATTCTAATGAGAATGCACTAGCGAAGTAAAGCACTGCAGTTTTACATAATTTCTGAGTAAGCTATTCGTAATACTTTCAAAACATTTCAAATAATGAATGCAAGGGAAACAAAAATGGATGAAAAACTTATACAAATTGCAAACACAAACTGAATACCCTGAAGAAAAAATCAAGGGGACACAGTTTAACGAAAGACCAACCTTCAGCTGGAAAAACTATGTACAACAGAGGAAGGAGGAAATTATGCGAATATTTATATAGTACGTAACGCTAAAACTGCTACGGGGAAAAATACACGAGGAAATACGGTATATCAAAGGGCAGATAGCTGAGAGGTGATTCATAGAAAAACTAACACAAAGTTTTTAGTATAGCTAAGAAACGAACCAACAGAAATCATTGTAGAAGTTTTTTTTTTTTTTTTTTTTTTTTTTTTTTTTTTTTCTCCTGATCCTAAGTATTTACAATGCTCAAAAAAAAAAAAAAAAAAAAAAAAAAAAAAAAAAAAAAAAAAAAGGGACTTTCTATATCTCCCGATCTACTGGGCCGATGAAAATTCAATTGCGTTCTTCATGTCTCGAAAGCGCGCTTAGGATATATATTAGATTTATATATAGCACTATTCTAACATAGGTATTTTGACACAAAATCGGACTTTTCTGAATAACATACCAATTTTTACATATTTCGATTCTACGACTCAAATTACGCCAAATAAATTTTGTAAAATTGGAGCGAAATTTACGGAGAATTCACAAATTATGTTGGCACTTTTTTGTCATTTGCGCCAAGAATACTTCACTTGGCGAACTTCTAATATTATGGCACCTAGTTTCCTTAGGAAAAAAAGTCACCATCGTTTCTTTTTTTCCAAATAATATTCTTTATATTATATTTTTAATTATAACTATTATTTTAAGTAATTTTTTTCTTTTCGAATTTCATTTTATTGTTTAAGTGCACTTTTTTTTTTTTTTTTTTTTTTCGAATACTGTTTTAAAAATTTCTATTTACCTATTCGAACTGCGTAATAGGTGCAGCGTTTATTTTTTTTCAATAGTTTTCTTATTATATATTTTCGTCATAGCTATTATTTTAGGTATTTTTTAAATTTTTATACTATTATTTAATTGTTTGTGTTGCATTGTCTCTTCAGATAATGTTTTAAAATTTTCTATTTATTCCTTCGAACTGAGCATTTTAAATATATTTATTAGTATCATTTTCCAGAATTTGATTTTATTTATTTGAACTGCGTTTTTTTTTTTCGAGAATAAACTTTATACCCATACTACGATGCGTTTGAAACTGCATACTATATTAAAAGAAAATACTAAAGCACATTAACACGCCTTTCAATGTTCCGTTCAGAAAAATATGTATAAATAAGAAGATAACCGATATTTTAAAGGAGACTTGCATACCCTGCTTTAAATTTTTCATTATCCCATTGCTTTACACAATTTTTCCTACATTTGGTAAAATTCACAAATATTTAATGGCAAGTTTCATAAATTGAAAAGTTTTAAAGACAATACTAACTTTTTTTTCCTCTGTTCGGTCATTTGAGGTATAAATCATTTTAAATAGTTATGCCTTCCTGTCATAAAGGCCCCAACGGCCGAGCGGTAAAGTGCTGAACCTGTAGTTCACTCCGTGGTTCGACCCGGTAAACGGCTGGTTTCATGGGCGTTTTCGTGGATTTTCTCAGGGTACTAACCTACCGTATACAGCGGGTTCCCTTAGAAGTTCTTCACGAGTATTTCTCAGCCTTTTATCAGTCTTTAGAGGCTAACATTTTGCGCTATGAATGAAGAAGACTTTTCATCAAAAGGTTTTGGTTCATTTATTATGACAAAGCACACGGCTGCTGCCTAAGGGGAGGGAGCCTTCCTGGAGACTTTTAAGTGAAACGGGCTCGCATAACATTACACATGGGGAAAACCACGAAACGCCCATGCAGCCAGCCTTTGCGGCATTCGAACCGCGGACCGACTACCAGTGTTCAGCGACTTTACCGCTCGGCCGCTGTTTCATCAGAAGGGAAAAAAAAACTCTTTAAGTACATCCACATACTGGATAAACTCCTGAATCTTCAATATTCGACTGAGGAATCATGGGATCACCATTTATGATCGATTGATGTTTTATAACGTAATTACACAACCATTAGTTTAACCAGTCGCTCTTCACTTTAATCTGCAATGATATCGTTTTGTCTTTTCTGTTAACACAAGCTCAATTGATGTATTTTGCTGGTGTACTCGTCCAAGTTCTCGTTGAACACCTAATTCTTTGAAGTATCCTGAAGTATATTCGAAGCGTCCAACTTTTGAACATCTTGGTATGTCTGACAGCCAAATTTCCTTGCAAATTTTGCTTTACTTTGCTCCTAATTTTCTTCTTTCCTTCTACGTTATTTTTTCATGCTCACACAAGAAATAAATTTTTCGACTGCTAGACTTCCATACATTTTGCATCTTGTCATTTTTAAAATAATCAATTATATGATGCGTTTCAGCTAAAGACAGCTTTTCATTTTTCTAGTCATTTTAGCTATAATAAAGTTAAAGCGAAAGTCCAAAGGATAAATATTTTAATTAAAGATTTTTGCTAAATGACAAGAAATAAAACAATCCACAGGGTTTATTCTGTACCACAGAGTAACCCGATTCTTATATCGGCTGAAACAATCTAAATCATATTAAAGATCATGTTTTTTTATACAATCTAAACGCGAGAGAAAAATTAGCTTCTTAAAACATGATTTCTAATAGATTAATATAAAAATTTATATTTATATATATTTTTTTAAAAGTTGGACTGAACCAACGTCAGACTTTTAAAGCTTATTTTACATGGTGGTTATTATTAAAGTTCCACTTTGAAATGGTCATAAAGGAAAACTACCGGCCAAATGTTATCAACTTGGGAATCGTGTAAAAGGTTATGAGAATTTATTTTCGGCGAAAAAAAAAAAAAGAGTTCAAAAACTCACCATCAGGGAAAAATGGCGCTGTACAATCTTGTTAATGAATAAGACACGAAAACATCTGTTTAAAATGTGTTTAATTTTTCCGAAACGTGTTACAAAGCAGGTTCAATGTACGTCCAGCATTTTCCGAAAGCAAGTTAAATCATGTTACTGCATTCTCAACAGCGCTCTTAGCATATCAGGTTTGGTTTTGGTTTGGTTTATTAGATTACGGCAAAGCACTCGAGCGCTATCTGCCTTAAGGGAGGGATGCCTTCGTGGAGGACTTTTTAAGGGAACGGCTCGTATACACGTTACCATAGCATATCAGGAGGAATGTTATCAGTGTATCACATTTTTCATTTCTTGCCAATTTTTTAATTATCACCATAAACGTGCTTTGAGATAACCTCATAGACAAAAGCCACAGAGGTTGAGGTCGGGTGGAAAGGGGAAGTTTGGCCTATAAGACCTTCATCGTGAAATGTTGCCTAAGTAACTAGGCGACACTCTTGAGGTGGTGCCCAGCCCTGCATAAAAATCGTAGTATCTAAAATGCCACGTTACTGCAGTTCATGTATCACGAAACATTTTAATATTGGCTCTATGAGCTGCAATCGCAGTGGTCCAGCTGTCGACTGCTCTTCAAAAAAAAATGGTTGTTATAAACTAGCTGTCATTCAACAGTAACGGTGTGAAATAACTGTTATGCAATCGAATTCAGTAGGAAATGCAATGGAACTAGATAGATAACAGAGAGATTTCTTTGGCCCAAATCGATTAAAAGCGTTTTTGAATCAGTATCTTCATGTTTAGTACCGAATTCAGCTTAAAATTACAATTAGCGATCTGTAGAA